TATTTCAAATAAATGCTGTTCTTCTGAACTTGCTGTTCATCAAAAAATTCTACTCAGCTGTTTTCAACATAATAATAATTAATGTTTTTTTGAGCAGCAAATCAGAATAGTTGAATGATTTCTGAAGGATCGTGGTACTGGAGTAATGGTGCTAAAAATTCAGCTTTGAAATCACAGGAATAAATTACATGTTTAATATATATTCAAAAAGAAAACACGTTATTTTAAATAGTAAAACTGTTTCACAATATTAATGTTTTTGCTGTACTTTAGATAAATTAAATGCAGGCATGGTGAGCAGAAGAGAATTCTTTAAAAATCTTACTGTTCAAAAACTTTTGCCTGGTAATGTACATAATTTAACAGTCTCAGCTGAAAACTTAAATCGCAAGCAAATCAGATTCCATAAACCTCACCTGTGATCAGGGAGCCAGTCATCTGAGCACTGGCATTGCACGTGTATCCCAAACTCTGTACGTTCACCGTATACTCATTGCCACACTGCAGGTCACTCAGCTCACAGTGCGTGATGGAGCTGTTGGATGTGCAGCTAGCCCTGTTGTCTACCGGTGCCAAGGCAGAGACAGCGTATCCCTGAGCACCTGCACTGTACTGCCATGACACAGTGGCTGTACCCAGCTGACAATCCAACACTGCCATGATGGAGCTGGCTGCGCAGGGAACTATGGGTAAATGCAGGAGAGACTCTGAGAATCTATTTTACATCTTTTTTTTTTTTAATAGAAAGCAGTTTACAGTGTATATATGTGCAGTAAGCGGGTCCAAACATAGCGATTAATTTAGGAGTGAGTGTCTATGGGAGTAATGTCTATGGAGTGAAAATATAGAGTATATAGACAAGTATATGCTTGTACGTGTTTCTATGTACCTGAGTTAGTGTTCACAGTAGCACTGGGAGGGCTGCTGCACAGACTGTCTGACGCTGTCACATTGACGTGGTACAGCTGACCACAGCTGAGACCTGTCACGTTACACTGTGAGCCTGTAGACTGGCAGGTGGTGGACAGTCCATTGCTGTCCTGCAAGGTGGCCATGTAGTACTGTCCTCCTGCACTAGGTGTCCATGATACAACTAAAGCTTTTGTGACACAATCCTCGGTGGGCAGGACATTACTTGGGGTGCAGGGCACTAGAACACAAGAAGCAAGGTAAAACTTAAGTGTTAATGAATTCAGTGCATTTCTTTTGCAGTTTATGCTTTTTATTATTACATTTTATTGAATTTGATCAACTAAACTTTTGAACAAAAAAATACATTCTTCAGCTTTAAAACGAATCAAGATATGAAATATGAAACAAACCTGCTTGAACTTGAACAGGCGCACTGTTCCCACTGCTGCAGTTGCTGCCTTTTGCCTTCACTGTGATCGTGTAAGACTCTCCGCAGGTCAAAGTTGACAGGTCACAGGAAGTGGATGGTGAGGTGCAGTTAGCTGAAAGGACATTAGCACTGCTGGCTGTCACTGTGTAAAGCTCCGCCCCTTGGCTGCTCCCCCAGGTTACTGTTGCTATGTTGCTGCTGCAGCTTACACTGGCCGACACGTTTTGTGGTACACAAGGACCTGGGGAAATTATAGAAAACAAAATGAGTACATGGTTGACTTGTTATTTTAAAGGAATATTCAGAGTCCTGCTTGCATGCTAGATATGCAGTGCTGTCAAACGATTAATCGCGATTAATCGCATCTCAAATAAACGTTTTTGTTTACATTATGTATGTGTACTGTGTATATTTATTATGTATATATAAATACACACACATGCATGTAAATATTTCAGAAAAATCTGTCATTTTTATATATTAAATATATTTATTTATAATATAAATTATATGAATATAAATATAGACATGCAAATACATTTTCAAAATATATACTGTATGTGTGTGTATTTATATATACATAATAAATACACACAACACACATATATTACGCAAACAAAAACGTTTATGTTGGATGCGATTAATTGCGATTAATCGTTTGACAGCACTATAGATAAGTTCTGATTTGAGTAATGTGGTAATGGAGCTTAAGTTGTATATCACTTGCAATGTTTTTTTAAGCAACATTTTATTTTAATATATTTTAAAATGTAACTTATTCTTGTGATGAAAAACTGAATTTTCAGCATCTTTACTCCTGTCACATGATCCTTCTGAAATCATTCTAATATGCTGATTTGGTGCTCAATAGTCATTTCTTATTATTATTATTAATGTTGTAAATGGTTGTTCTGCTTAATAATTTACGTTTAAAGTAGCATTTATTTAAAATAAAATAAAAATTGGTAACATTATAAATGTCTTTACTGTCACTTCAATGTCTGTCAATTTAATGCATCCTTGCTTAATAAAAGTATTAATTTTTCTGACCCCAGATTTTTGAATGATTGTTAATTTAGGAATTAATTTCTCTTACTTGTTATGACAGGTGATCCAGTGCCTGCAGAGCTGTTGCAGGAACGTCCCTCTGCCACTACCTTAACTGTGCATGTTTGTCCACATGCCATGTTAGTGATGTCACATCCTGTTTCATTGGTACTGCAGATGTGCGTCTGTCCATTAGAGCATTCCATTGTCATCGTAAAGGACAGAGCTCCATTGCCGCCGGACCAAGACACACTCGCTGTGTTGCTGCCACAGTTCATTATGGACTGGATATTCAATGGAGGGCATGGGGCTGAAGAGAAGAGAAAATAATGCCATTTAAAGGTGAATGGTAAGTATGTAATTTCCACGCAGGGCACTAGAACACAAGAAGCAAGGTAAAACTTAAGTGTTAATGAATTCAGTGCATTTCTTTTGCAGTTTATGCTTTTTATTATTACATTTTATTGAATTTGATCAACTAAACTTTTGAACAAAAAAATACATTCTTCAGCTTTAAAACGAATCAAGATATGAAATATGAAACAAACCTGCTTGAACTTGAACAGGCGCACTGTTCCCACTGCTGCAGTTGCTGCCTTTTGCCTTCACTGTGATCGTGTAAGACTCTCCGCAGGTCAAAGTTGACAGGTCACAGGAAGTGGATGGTGAGGTGCAGTTAGCTGAAAGGACATTAGCACTGCTGGCTGTCACTGTGTAAAGCTCCGCCCCTTGGCTGCTCCCCCAGGTTACTGTTGCTATGTTGCTGCTGCAGCTTACACTGGCCGACACGTTTTGTGGTACACAAGGACCTGGGGAAATTATAGAAAACAAAATGAGTACATGGTTGACTTGTTATTTTAAAGGAATATTCAGAGTCCTGCTTGCATGCTAGATATGCAGTGCTGTCAAACGATTAATCGCGATTAATCGCATCTCAAATAAACGTTTTTGTTTACATTATGTATGTGTACTGTGTATATTTATTATGTATATATAAATACACACACATGCATGTATATATTTCAGAAAAATCTGTCATTTTTATATATTAAATATATTTATTTATAATATAAATTATATGAATATAAATATAGACATGCAAATACATTTTCAAAATATATACTGTATGTGTGTGTATTTATATATACATAATAAATACACACAACACACATATATTACGCAAACAAAAACGTTTATGTTGGATGCGATTAATTGCGATTAATCGTTTGACAGCACTATAGATAAGTTCTGATTTGAGTAATGTGGTAATGGAGCTTAAGTTGTATATCACTTGCAATGTTTTTTTAAGCAACATTTTATTTTAATATATTTTAAAATGTAACTTATTCTTGTGATGAAAAACTGAATTTTCAGCATCTTTACTCCTGTCACATGATCCTTCTGAAATCATTCTAATATGCTGATTTGGTACTCAATAGTTAATGTTGTAAATGGTTGTTCTGCTTAATAATTTACGTTTAAAGTAGCATTTATTTAAAATAAAATAAAAATTGGTAACATTATAAATGTCTTTACTGTCACTTCAATGTCTGTCAATTTAATGCATCCTTGCTTAATAAAAGTATTAATTTTTCTGACCCCAGATTTTTGAATGATTGTTAATTTAGGAATTAATTTCTCTTACTTGTTATGACAGGTGATCCAGTGCCTGCAGAGCTGTTGCAGGAACGTCCCTCTGCCACTACCTTAACTGTGCATGTTTGTCCACATGCCATGTTAGTGATGTCACATCCTGTTTCATTGGTACTGCAGATGTGCGTCTGTCCATTAGAGCATTCCATTGTCATCGTAAAGGACAGAGCTCCATTGCCGCCGGACCAAGACACACTCGCTGTGTTGCTGCCACAGTTCATTATGGACTGGATATTCAATGGAGGGCATGGGGCTGAAGAGAAGAGAAAATAATGCCATTTAAAGGTGAATGGTAAGTATGTAATTTCCACACCACTAGAACCACTACATTTTTAAAAGTAACTAGAATTTATTCAGTTTTTTTTTTTTTTTCCTTTTTTAAAATCTGAGTAGTGCTGTGGTGTTGCTATATGGCTTCTAAGGTGTTTGGAGTTGTTTTCACTGGGCTGCTATGCAGTTGCTAGGGCACCAGTACTGAGAATAATTTTCAGCGAGTAACCTGAAGTCATTTCATTTTCAATGAAAGTTTTTGCAGAGTTCAGCTTTATGCAAAGAGCAGCTACATGATGCAGTGACCTCCAGTGGGAGTGCATGAATGAAACAGTGCCTCCTGTCCAATAACAAAGCCTAAGCTTTCAAATTCTTTAAATTTTTCTCAAGAAATACAAACAATAAATGTCATTTTGACATCATCATGTGGCATGACAGATCGCTTTAGCTGCTGCATTCATGCAGCAAGTGTGAAAGCAATCATGTCTTCTTCTTTACCTCTAGTTATAAGCATGAAATAAACAAGAATGATAATCAGAAAGTATGTTGAAAAAATAGTACAGATTACTAAAATATACCAGTGTTTCAAACTGCAAAAAATAAAACAGCTTGCAAACATAGCGTAGTTACCTTAGCAAAGTCATTAGAAAAAAACTCTAGAGAGGAGCATTGTGTGAAATATGTGTACTCTATATATTATATATTCATTGTATATTACCTGTTAGTGTTGTCATAATTACTTTAACAGATTTATTTAAGACATAAATTATGTCATGAAACAAGCTTTTATGATAGCCATGTTTAAATATTTATATTTAAACAAGGAATTTGAGTAACAAATTTAATTATATCATTAGAAAGTTGCTTTATGTACAATTTAAATGTTTTTTTATATCTATCTATCTTTTATTATATCTATAAATAAATAGCAATCCAATTTAATAATTTGTCAAATTTTTGTTGTTGATTTTAACATTTAATATTTTGGTAATGTACCAAGTGAAAGTGTTCCCTGCATAGTTTACAGCAGGGGGTGGCGAACGTCGGTCCTGGAGAGCTGAATTCTGCAGGGCTGAGGCTCTCCAGGACCGGAGTTCGCCACCCCTGGTTTACAGCTTTATTTGAGAGAAGAAAAATTGCATGTACCTGAAGTATTTCAAATTGAACTGATATCAAAGCAGCATCTGAATTAAATTGAATTGAGAGCTTGTGAATAAGAATCTAATTATGAAATATGTGTCAATATCCAGCCCTACACTCAAGTAGAAATGTCTGCTAGCAACTAACAGTGATTAAACGGTGATTTAGTGAAAAGGGCTTGAGGCATTTGTTCAAATTATTTCTTTGTTTTACTACAGTATCTGTCTAAAGAATCTGTCTTTTCTTCTTTACAGAGTCTTCCATTGTATGGACAAACTAGGCTTTGTTACCTGTCTCCCTCTGCAGTGTGTTACTAGCAGCACTGGTGCATTGGCCTTGCGTTGCATTCACAATGAACGTGTACGTCTGTCCACACTGCAGTCCATCCACCACACATTCACCATTGTTGAAGACACCACAGCCCAGCTGTTCACCCTGAGTGCTCACTGCACTGACCGAAAATGCACCTAGACTCAACCCTGAACTAGACCACTTCACCACAGCAGACCTTGAGCTACAGTTCAGAGCCACGTCGTTCAGAACTGGCACACATGGAGCTGAAAGTGAGGGTAAAGAAGGGTGAAATTAAACAAATGATTAAATATGAAAGTGCATTATTAGTATTATTAGAGCAAAAATGGAGTTTAATGACTATCATTATGGTTATTTTTAATACAATTCCTGATTCCTAACCTGTAATGAAGGAGTACTCCGTGCTGGATTTGCTAGTACAGTTGTTTTGGGTAGCAGTGACAGTGACGTTGTATTGGCTGCCACATTGCAAGTGGGCAAGAGTGCAGTTCAAGTTTGTTGTGTTGCACTCCACACCACTAGAGGGCCCCAATGGGCCAATGGCGCTTGCTGTGTAATGAACCCCGGAAATGGCCATGGAGCTCCACGACACTAAGACTGTGTTAGTCGAGCAGTCCAAAACAGCAGCGACAGATGTAGGTGGACACGGTGCTAAAGAGGAAACAGAAATACATATGCTGAGACTATTATTCTGCATGTCTCCAGTATTAAGCATTTCACTCTTAAAGGGATAGTTTACCCCAAAATGAAAATTACCCCATGAATTACTCACCCTCAAGCCATCCTAGGTGAATATGACTTTCTTCTTTCAGATGAATTAAATCAGAGTTATATTATATTATATTATAATATATTATAATATTATATTATATTTTTCCGCGCTCATGTTAACGGATTAAAGCGTTCACTGCACACGGTTGCTGTCCGGCAGCGTGTCTGCAGCAGTGCAGAGATCGTTTCCACACCGAGTCTATTGCTGCGCTGCAAGTGCTGAATTAAAATAACATCGCATTGTTTTCAGTAAATATGAACATGGATTGAAACTAAAATTTATCAGTTACACCATAAATGCATATTATTAAAGTCTACTGTGTTTCACAGTCAACACATATGGCTTTTTGGCTAGGTTTAAAGGGAACGAGCACTTTTAGATAAACAAGGCAATAATAGATGGCACTCGTGGAGGTAGAAAAACAATTCTTTATGAACGGCAGGATTGCTTGTAGTAAAGATTTAAATAAAAAAGGAAAGGCAGTAGAGCTGACTATTTCTGTCAATGGTATGTTTGTGATAACGTAAGAGAAGTAGTTTAAATGTTTTGCCACTTGCTTGAGCAACTTAATATATAAATCTAGAAGTAAATGCAAAAGTAAAAAGCATTGAATAATGTGTTGCTTATATTTATTGTGTTTTAACCTGTAATGAAGGAGTACTCCGTGCTGGATTTGCTAGTACAGTTGTTTTGGGTAGCAGTGACAGTGACGTTGTATTGGCTGCCACATTGCAAGTGGGCAAGAGTGCAGTTCAAGTTTGTTGTGTTGCACTCCACACCACTAGAGGGCCCCAATGGGCCAATGGCGCTTGCTGTGTAATGAACCCCGGAAATGGCCATGGAGCTCCACGACACTAAGACTGTGTTAGTCGAGCAGTCCAAAACAGCAGCGACAGATGTAGGTGGACACGGTGCTAAAGAGGAAACAGAAATACATATGCTGAGACTATTATTCTGCATGTCTCCAGTATTAAGCATTTCACTCTTAAAGGGATAGTTTACCCCAAAATGAAAATTACCCCATGAATTACTCACCCTCAAGCCATCCTAGGTGAATATGACTTTCTTCTTTCAGATGAATTAAATCAGAGTTATATTATATTATATTATAATATATTATAATATTATATTATATTTTTCCGCGCTCATGTTAACGGATTAAAGCGTTCACTGCACACGGTTGCTGTCCGGCAGCGTGTCTGCAGCAGTGCAGAGATCGTTTCCACACCGAGTCTATTGCTGCGCTGCAAGTGCTGAATTAAAATAACATCGCATTGTTTTCAGTAAATATGAACATGGATTGAAACTAAAATTTATCAGTTACACCATAAATGCATATTATTAAAGTCTACTGTGTTTCACAGTCAACACATATGGCTTTTTGGCTAGGTTTAAAGGGAACGAGCACTTTTAGATAAACAAGGCAATAATAGATGGCACTCGTGGAGGTAGAAAAACAATTCTTTATGAACGGCAGGATTGCTTGTAGTAAAGATTTAAATAAAAAAGGAAAGGCAGTAGAGCTGACTATTTCTGTCAATGGTATGTTTGTGATAACGTAAGAGAAGTAGTTTAAATGTTTTGCCACTTGCTTGAGCAACTTAATATATAAATCTAGAAGTAAATGCAAAAGTAAAAAGCATTGAATAATGTGTTGCTTATATTTATTGTGTTTTAACATGTCTGTTAAAGATTGTATTACTGTACTGTGTAAAAAAAAGAATTGCAATGCTGAAAAAGCATTTTCAGTGACAATGTTTGGATTTGAAATCAAAATAATGGTAATTGTGTTTGCGGTAAACAGCGATGGATCAGTAGCGGACTCCTGTGTGAAAGCTGCTTCCCCTCTCACAAGAGTCACCTAAGAGGGGAATTCCCCACATTTTCAAAAATGAAATTCAGGCTCTGAATAAATGTCTAAAAATCCTGATTGGAGTATCACTATAGTTATAAATGATAAAATGAAGGCTTTAAAAAGATCGGTATCGGTGATCGGTATCGGCAGATATTGCTTTCTGTGATCGGCGCACCCCTAATAAAAAGTACTCTACATGGTGGTGGGGGTGGGTTGGTTAATAAAGGCCTTTTGAAGTGATGCATTTGTGTAAGAAAAATGTCTATATTTAAAACTTAAGCCATAATCTGTAGCTGTCGTACGTGTTTATGAGGATGAAAGTAGCTAAGCTCCAGTGGGAAGTGACGAACGCGGAAGCGCAGAGGAGAGGGCAAAACAAAACACCAGTCACAAATTAGCAGTACAAAATGAGGATATGTAAATAAAAATGTTGGAGGATTTCGATAAAAGCCAAGAGGAGACTGGTTTTCCTTTCCTGTAAACAAAACTTGGTTCTCGCAAGACTAACATATTCTCACCGAAGCTTATGCTACACCTACATCATCTGCTGGAACGCCACTCTCTCGTTAATACGCATATTAATTAGCGGAAATTAGAGATTAAGGTTTATAAAGTTTTAAATATAGACATGTTTCTTACACAAATGCATCACTTCAAAAGGCCATAAGTTCATAAGTTTTACTTCTCGACCCCCAGTCACTGTCATTATAAAGCTTGGAGGAGCCAGGACATTTTTTAATATAACTCTGATTGTATTCATCTGAAAGAACTTCTATACACCTAGGATGGATTGAGGGTGAGTAAATCATGGGGTAATTTAAATTTTTGGGTGAACTATCCCTTAAAGTCAACATGAAACTGTATTTGCAAACCGTTTCACTTCAGTATTGTGACATATCCTTATGTTTAAGAAATGTAGAGTGTGGTTTTTGATATGAGGAACAAAGGCTGGAACCACCATGGATATTGATGGTACAGCGTCCCCTCCAAAAATTAGATATGGCCAGATTGTTCCTCACAATATTTGATGTTCTTGATGCTGCTCTGCTGCACTCCATTATGCACTGTTCTTTTGTCAGATTTTGCGGTTTTAAATTGAAAATATCGTGATTCATGTAAATCGTAATTAAATTTGATGTGACAAGAAAGATTAATGGAGCTGTTTTGACATATTAGACGTATGATTGAGAGCAATTGTGTGCATATTTATTTAGAATGGAAGCCTTCAGTTTGTTCAAATGGTACTGTACCTGCAGTGACCTGACTGATCGCACTGGTGTTGGAGCTACAGCCGTTGGCCTCTGCAACCACAGTGATATTGTACGTCTGCCCACAGCCGAGTGCAGGGATGATGCAGGACGTAGAGGTGGAGTTACACACCAGGGTCTTGTCAGTAGATTTTGCTTGAGCATAGTAGATCTGCGCCCCTTTACTCGACTGCCAGCTAATTTGAACATCACCTGTTTGACAATCTAAGAGCTGACTGACCACAGATTGTGGAGCACAGGGTGCTGGGAGACGAAGGGAAACAAAGTATTACTTTAGCACGTTTAAAGGAATATTCCAGGTTAAAAACAAATCTTTCTCGGCAGAATTTTTGGTGTGCTGTCAAGTAAATTTTTTTTTAAATGTGAAGTATTGTTATCAAAGCACTTGAAATATTCAGTAAAATTCTCATTTTTTAGCAACATTAAAATTTCAAGTGCTGTAGAGAATAATATCTTGTACTATAGTTTGAACGTTCTGGATTTATACGCTACAAAATTGCAGTATGCAAAATTCAATTTTAGAGAAAATACTTACCAGTATTGATGCGACGCATGTCACTACGTTGCCCAGTGCAGTCCACGCTCATAGCTGTGACTGTCACGTTGTACGCCTGACCACACGCCAGGCCGCTGATGTCACAGGAAGTGCTGCTGGAGTTGCAGGATAGCGTATGTCCATTATCATCTACTGCTGTTACTATATAGTATGAAACAAGGCCACTGGATGCTGCCCAGGAAACAGATGCAGTGTCCGACCCACAGGATAATGACACATTGACTTGAGTGGGAACACATGGAGCTGGAAAGGAAAAGATTCATGCACAAAATCAGAAGATTTTAATGCAATGGATCATTTGATGCCAGAAGAATCGCCAAATTAGAGTTTAATCTAAATGCACTGTGTTGTTATTTGATGTTATACCTGTGTCAAGAGTGACCAAGGTTTTAGAAGAGGTTGAACAGGTCTGGCCGTGTCCTGTAACACTGATGTTATAGTGCTGACCACACGGCAGTGAACTGATGCTGCAGGAGGAGCCGTTGGTGAAGCAGTTGTGCTTTTGGGGGTCCTGGAAAGACTGCAGTGTTGCATTGAAACTTAGCGAACCATTGCCTGGTGTCCAAGAAATGAGTGCTGAGTTGGTGCTGCAGTCCAGACTGGCTTGAATGCCAGTGTTGGGACATGGTGCTGCAACATGAAAAAAATGTTAACACGTCAAACTGCAGTATATACATTTACTGAATGGTGCATGCCATGCAAAAACTGCTAAGATGTTGCTATATGGTTGCTAGGATGTTCTAGGTGGTTGCTAATAGTTCGGGAAAACGATTGTGTTGCTCCAATCTCTAATTATCACTAATGAGCTAGAGTTCAATACCTGAGACGAGAGTGACAGGCTGGCTAGCCAAGCCCATGCAGTCACCATTCATGCCCATGACTGTGATGGAATATTCCTGGCCGCACTGCAGGTTTGGGATATCACAGTGTGTGACAGTGTTGTTGCAGGACGTCTTGTACCCTTGGTTGCCTTCTGCCTTTACCAAGTACCAAGTGGCACCAAGGGCACTGTGCCAGGTGATGGAAGCAATGTTGGATGTACAGTTTAGAGCAGCAGCGACATTGGTGGGAGTGCAGGGTGCTAGAGAAGAGAAGAGGAAGTTATATGAAAACATAAGCTATATAAAAAATATTTATATAAAAAGTGTATACACTATACACTACTGTTCAAAACTTTAAGGGTTAGTAAAATGTTTTTGAAAGAAGTTTCTTATGCTCACCAAGGCTGCATTTATTTTATGAAAAACACAATTAAAAAATTTGATATTGTGAAATATTAATGTTTTGTGACATTTATTCCTGTGATGTCAAAGAGGAGTTTTCAGCAGCCATTATTCCTTCAGTGTCACATTAACCTTCAGAAATCATTCTAATATGCTGATTTGGTGTGCAAGAAAAAATTCTTATCAGTTTCCAAAACAGTTGATCTGCTCAATATTTAGGCAGAAACAAAGGTAAACTTTTTCAGATTTTTTTTTAATAGAAATTTCAGATGTTGTCCTTACTTAATTATTGATTTCTTTCCCCAAAAAAATCTTACTGATCCTAAAATGCTTGAATGGTAGTGTATTATTTTTGTTATTGTTTATTATTGAAATATATATGTATATATTATTTATAGAATTGGATAAAATAAACCACCAAATGCCACTTTTTTTTCTATCTAATGCATTGAAATTCATATATCTAATGTATTTAAGGACCAAATTTTTTTATGTACACGTTGTTATGAATCACTGAAATTAGCAAATGTTAATGTGAGCTGACACCTGTTTCCACTACAGCTTTAGGTTGAGAGCTGCTGTTGCAGGTGGCGCCATCAGCTTGGACAGTTACATTTAGTCTCATCCCACACGGCAGAGAGGTCAGCTGACAGGAAGTCCCCATAGAGTGACAAGAAGCTAAACGTTGCTGCTGCCCGTCTGTTGCCATTGCCGTGTACCCATTAGCTCCCGCACTGGCAGCCCATGTCACGTTGGCCGTGTTGGTGTCACACTGGAGCACAGTTGTGATGTTCTGAGGGTCACAGGGAGCTAAAGGAGATACATAGTCAGTTTCAAAGGTCTGTTATTACTGTGTAAACATGAGCATGTATGCTCACTTGACTGTTACCTGACTGTATCTGAATGGGTGTGGATGGCAGACTTCCACATTGACCATCATTCCTTGTGACTGTGACATTGTAGTTCATTCCGCAGAGCAGGTTTGCGAATGTGCAGTTGTTAGAGCTGGTGCTGCAATTAACTGAGTGTCCATGTTCATCGTGCAGTACTGCTGTGTACAGACTCCCAGTCTGAAGGGCCTGCCAACTTACGACTGCGTTATTTGCTGCACAGTCTCTAGTGACCCCCATGCTGACCGGTGCACACGGAGCTACAATGGAGAATGTATCAGATTTACTTGGTATACAGCAAAAATTAATTTGTTTTACTTTTATATAAAAGTATAAAAACAGTAAAACACTTACGGCAAATATTTTAGAGAAATGAATTTGCTGGTGAAATATACAATTTCTTTTTGGCTTAAAGGGACAGTTTAAACCAAATTGAAATTCATATTAATATATAAAATGTTAAGTATAAGATTTTTTAAAAAGATAAGATTACCATTTTGTAATTTTTATTTTAACATTTTTTGTTTATTTTTTGTCACGTTATTTTTATATTTTAAATATCTGGGCCCCTTTATTCATCCTCTCTTATTGTTTTATTTTACATTTTAAAAGTATGTCCCTTTTTCTTTATCCTTTTTTCTTACATTTTATATATCTGGCCACTTTTATTTACCCCATTTAATTTTTTTTAATTTAATTATTTGTTATATTACATTTTAAATATACTGCCTCTTTTAATTATCCTGTTTTATTTTTATTTTACTTTTTATCTGGGCCTTTGTATTAATTATTTTACACTCTAAATATTTAACCTTTTATTCATACCATTTTATTTTTTTATTTTATAATATTATTTTTTACATTTTAAATATCTGGCATCTTTTATTCATCCCCTTTTAAGTTTTGTTTTATGATTATTTTAAGATATTATTGAATTTTACACTTTAGATTTCCGGTGTCATTTAATACCTACTTAAATTTTTTTTTACACAGTTTGTATTTTATAAACGTGTATTATACACGTTTATAAATGTATTTTTGTATTTTTAAATATGTGGCCCTTTTTATTTATTCCTTTTTATCATTATTATGACTCTTTTTTTATTAATTGTTATCTTACATTTAAAATATCTGTTCCCTTTTATTCTTCCCTTTTATTTTTTTTGCTTTAGATATTTATTTTTTTTAGTCATCCCTTTTTATTTTTAATTTTACATTCTTTTTTGTTTTACATTTTAAATTTATGTCCCCTTTTCATCATCCTCTTTTATTTTGGGTTATTTACATTTTAAATATCTGACCCCTTTTATTTATTTATTTATGTTTTATTATCTGGCCCCCCTTGCCCCCTTTTTTATTTTAGTTTTCACATTATTTTATAAATAAACCAGATAAAGAAATTAATTTTAAATATCTAGCAATTTCTATTCATCCAACTTTTTGTATTTTACTTGGTAATTTATTTTGCATTTTAAATATCTGGCCCCTTTTATTCATTATTTTTGATCATCTGTGCACCTACCTGTCTGCAGGGTGACATGTTGACTCTCAGAACTGTTGCATTTCAGGTTAGTTGACATGACATACACGTCATATGCCTCGCCGCATCGCAGGTCTGGGATTGTGCATTCTGCCACCATGGCAACACAGGTGTGAACTGTGCCATTCACGTGAGTCGCCATTCCGATGTAGAAGATGGCACCGTTGGCATAGTTCCATGTGAGAGAGGCAGAGTCTGAACTACAGGTCTCCACAGCAGACACGTTCTGAGGTATGCAGGGAACTACAGTGGGAGATAAAGGGACATAGTGTATAGTATCATCATCTAATACCATGCCACAGTACTTTTTTGTAAGTGCATATTCCTATACCACTATATATATTGCAATTTAAAGAATACCATTGTACTACCACAGTACCCAGAATCACTCACCTGTTTCTGCTACATCTCCCAGCACAGGATCAGTAGTGCATTCACCATTTGTGGCAACAATCCACACGCTCAGGCTCTCTCCGCAATCCAGATCTGTTAGCGTGCAGCTTGTGTTTGCAGACGTACAGTTGTATAAATCTTTACGATTACCGCGGGCCTCCACAGCGTAGGCCTCGGCTCCTGCGGCCTCGTCCCAAGTAATGATGGCACTGCTGATGCTATTACAGTTTGCAGTCGTGTAGATGTTCTGCGGCAAACATGGGGCTTCATGGGTAAGGAGACAGAGGGGGCCAAAATTAAGATTTATATTTAAAACAAGTCAAGACACTTTATATAGCGCTTCAAACAATACAGATTGTTTCAAAGGAGCTTCAGATTAATAAACAGGAAAATAACAGTGTTAATGTTGAAGTTCAATCCGGCTCCGAAGTAGCTAATTTTTTCACCTCAAGTCAGTTCAAAGTTGATTCAGTTCAGTTCAGTCATGACAACTCTCTGAGGGATTGGCATGATAATGTACATGACAATGTTAATGTATTTGATCTTGGCAGAATAGATATGCTACGCTGCTGCTGCTGCTGCTGCTGCTGCGGCAGAGCAAGTACTGAGACTTGCTACTGACAATACATCCACA